CACACCACAGGCAGTCTTCAACACCCTGTGTGGCCTGTGTGTGATGGGGGTCCTGGAGAACTTCTTTTTCGACTTTCGCCGCTTGTGTTCCTTCCTTCCTCCTTTGCCTCCTTCATTCCTTCTTTTTTTCCTTCCTTCCCTCCTTGCTCTCTCTCTAGGGCGGTGCAGCAGTGGCAGTGGTGCTGGCATGGGCTGGGCGCTGGGTTGGCTCACCTGAAGCCGCCCGTGCACCGGATCCTCCAGGACCACTGCACAGGGACCGGCAAGACCCTGAGGATGCTGCAGATCCCGGACAACTTCTCTTTCGACTTTCGCCGTCCAAGCATCAAGCTGCACAAAGAGAAGAAACCTAGTGATGGTCTGGCGTGCTACGCAAATATCCATTGCTATGTGACCGCTGTGGGCAATGCTACTTGCAAGCACCAGCTCATGCACCATGACAGCTGCAGGCCCAAGTTCACGGCAGCTGTTAGTGACGTGGTAGCTGCCGCAAAGCTCCAGCAGAAGTCCATGGTCATGGTCAGCAAGCGCACTGGGTACAAGGTGATGCTGTGGCTTTTGGAGGCAGCTGGGAAGAGGCACAAGTTCAATGTGGCCCGGCCACCACATGTAAAGTTACCATTTTGGGTAAAGCCCCCTGTTTTCACCAAACTGTTGCACCAATCCCGACAATTTTCTATGAATGGCTCCGGTGCAGGTTGCTCACTATGACCACCTGGCTGACTTCAACAGAAGTGACAACGCCCGTGGAGAGAAATATATGGTTCTTCTTCTGGCAGCCGAGGAAGGGGAAAGCATTGGGTTGAAATGTGCTCGGTGGGCCCTCTTCCTGGATGCGGCTTGGACTGATGACATTCAAGTCATGTTAATGGTTTGCCAGAAAGCAAACTTTGATTACAAGTCCAAAGCTGCCATAGATGTTGCGCAGGAAAACCAATGAGTCCTTCCTTCCTTCCTTCCTTCCTTCCTTCAGGCAGTGGCAGCGGGCCGCGGGTCAGTAGCGCCACAGCCTGGACAGCAACACATTTGGTCTGTCCAGGATTCCCGCGGCCCATGTGAACTTGCCCACAGAGATGTGGCGCATGCCGATTCAACAGAGATGCTTCATTACACAGCGAAAAGCAGGTGTGAGGTCTAAGGTGAGGTGGTGTGAGGGGCGTGAGTCGTGAGGTGAGGCCGGTGAGGCCAGGTGAGGTTAGCGTTTCGGGCGTTGCGCGCGTTTATTTGCAGCATTGTTGGGAGTTGGGGGCTGGGGGTGGGGTGCCTGCCTGCTTTGTATTCATTTTGTGACTGTGACCCTGTACTGCCATTCATACATAGTTTCCATAATATGAATTGTTTTTCAAAGATGATTTGATTGTATTGTATTTATGATTTATGCTAGACTGCCAGAATAGATACTAGATAAAATAGACACAAATTCAAAATTCAAAATTCAAATATTTTAAATTATACACATAATAGTTATGTGCTTATTTGACAACAGACATGTACATGTATGTTGTATGTATTGTTTACATTAGATTCTAGGCTTCTTGGTTCTAGCCTCGGTAGTAGCACTTAAAAAAATCAAAGTGCAATATTTTTGTTTCATGGTAGGTATGGTGTACTGTGTATGATGATGATGATTTTGATGATGACGATGATGATGATGATGATATAGATGATGATGATGATATAGATGATGACAAAAAATGATGAGGATGATGGTGATGACTATGATGACAATGATGATGATGATGATGATGATGATGATGATGATGGCGATGATGATTATATGTTGATTCTGTTGATTATGATGATGATGATTCTATGTTGATTCTGTTGATTATGATGATGATGATGATGATGACTGATGAACATACTACATAAAGGAAATCACACCAGTGTGCCAGTGTGTTACATGATTCCAATGAGTTGCCACAGTCGGGTGAGTCGGGTCAGGCAATGTTGGAAAAAAGAAGTTTTCCTTGGGCAAAGTGGCAACGCTGACCGAGAGCAACATGGGGATGACGGCAACGTGGAAAATTTTGAGGGCTTCGGTCTGGGCTTGGGAGCGACCGTGCAGCAGGTGGACGCTACTATCAGAGATTCATCCTTTTGGGCCTATGCGCACTTAGTCTGACGCTTGTCGGTGCAAAATATTGCAAATTTTCTGATGAGGTTCAAGGCTCAGGGCACAGAGTCCTTGGGATTTTCAGTTTGTTACTTTCACCTCTGCTGCAGTCTGCAGTGCTGCATGTTGCGTGCCATTTATTGGTGCCTGTAACTTGCAGACGGACTGTTGATCATTGACCAGAATTCAATTCAGCATGGACAGCATGGATCATTTGAAAAACATTGGTTTTGGTTTTGGTCAATTGTGGCCACTGCCAAGGCGATTTAGCAGAAGAAGCCAATTGCATCAGTCAATGGGCGGAGCGCTGCCCATGCCATGCCAGTAGCGATTCCGACGATGTGCCAGATGCCAAGATTGCCCAAACAAGAGCAATGTGTCCAGGGCCAATCCCAGTCCCATCCACATGCCCGTACAGAGGGTGCCGTGCGCCGGAACTGGTCAGTGGAAGGGCTTTGCAAATGCAGCGAGACATTTTGATGGAAGACCGTGTTCTTTGACTCAACCTGAGTGCATGATGACTAACCGTGACATGTCAATTCACCAGTGCCAGTGCCATCAGTGATCCTTTCCAACTTCCAACTTCCAACATGTGCCTTTCACTGTAATGATTCTTGTGAGAACTTGTGAGTGAATGATGTTTTTGTATCATCAGTCATCAGCCAGATCATCAGATCATAGGATGATCATCATGCCCTTTTGCCAGTGAGGGCGCCAGCATTATCATACATCAAGGGGATAGTGACGTGACACAGGTTTGTGAATCGATTGTGGCGATTAGTGGTCATAGCAAAGCTGTGAAGTTATGTTTTGCAGTCTGACATCAAAGGAACGGATCCTTTTCCATTGCTCCGGGCCTGGGGTTGGACAAGAGCAGAAAGCAATTATTTTGCAAGATTGGCTCCAAGCAAGGGACGTTCTTTGGAGCAACTTGGTGGAACACATTTGTGCAGGCAATTCCTATGGCAATGCTTTAGTTACGACTCACGGGGCTGTAAATTTTGCAGTGTATTTGTTGCCATTGTGTTTGGTAGCCGGGTACTTTGGTCGTGAGGCGAGGTCTTTGCCAAATTGAGCTATTGGCAGAGCCTGCCATGGATTCTTTGCCCCCTGGCTGAACTTGCCGAAACCATTTTTTTTAGCAATGCTGTGGGCTGATCACTTGTGCTGCCCGACGGGGTTGGATAGTGACAGTTGGAAAAAATGATAGGTTAAAAGCATATTATTTCACTTTCGGGGATCTCTACCATGGCAAAAACATTTTGTGTGACATATGTTCTGATATATGTGACGCAACTTTTATGTGACCCAAATTTTGACATGCGTTCTGAGAATGTATTTGACCTATATTCTGATATTTTACTTGACATATGTTCTGACATAAAATCTGACATTTTATTCCACATGTAATGGCATTTCTATAAAGGCATTTCATTTGACACATGTTATCATTTATCTGGCAAAGATTCTAACAGGAAGTTTGCCGTTGAGGTTTGGCAGTGCCCGCTGTGGTCAGTCATTTGGCATGAAGATTGGCGAAGAAATAATGACAAGAAGGATAAGGAAGGAGAAGGAAGGAGGAGGAAGGAGGAGGAAGGAGGAAGAAGGAAGGAGAAAAAAATTGATAAAATCCATCAAAACCCGACCATACTTGCTACTACTACTGCTACTACTACTACTCTTACTACTACTATTACTATTACTACTACTACCACTACTACTACTACTGCTATTACTACTACTACCACCATTACTTTTACTTTTACTTTTACTTTTACTATTACTAGTATTACTACAGCTACTGCTATTGCTACAGCTGTTGCTAGTGCTACTGCCGACATTACTGCTACTGTTACTTCTACTGCTGCTACTACTATTACTGCCATGACTGTCAGCTATGTCAGCTGGACATTGATTGCTTTCAGGTGGACTGGCTTCTGACAATCCAACGGATGTGCGAAGGGTTGCTGTGTCAGCTTTGGATCAGTATGCTGCTATGCAACAAGAAGAAGGACATGAACATCCTTGGCACCCTTGCCAGCATGCGCAATCCAGACGTTTTTGCGACCCAAAGTGGCGCGGCTTGGACAATGATGACCAAGAGGTGCCCTTGAGGCCCTATTTGGAGCGACTTGCTGCAGGCAAGGTGCATTGGTGAGCTCGTGAGTCGTGAGTTGTTTGATTCTTTCTTGCCTTGTAACCTCAACAGCTACTGTGCAGCGCGAGAACTCAACATTCTGGCTGATTTAGCCTGGGTCATGTCCATTGTCATCAACATCATTATTTGCTTAAATTATATATATAATAATATGTATCAGTTTCGCATCAACACTACCGACATTACCATTACTAAATTGTCATGCCATCATCATCATCATCATCAACATCATCATCATCATCATCTTCTTCATCACCATCATCATCATCATCATCATCATCATTGCCATCATCATCATCAATTTCATCATCAAAATCATCATCATCGCCATCATCATCATCATCATCATCATCACCATCATCATTGTCATCGCCATCATCAATATTGTCATTTTCGTCTCCATCATATCCATTGTCATCAGCATCATGATTGTCATCATCACCATTATCATTTTCATCATGATCCCTTTCTTTCCAAGCAAGCTGCAAATTGCAGGTGAGCAGCTGGATACATTCTCAGACGATGACAAATTCACTTTTGGGTCTTGGGTTTGCCGCTTCCGGCATGTAGCTTGGATCCTCAACAGCTTTGCCTGGATGGGGTCGGGTGGATGTTGAGTGGAGGGTCAAGGTCAAGCACCTTTGTTTTGGAACCAGATCTAGATAGCAGATCTCCACCAGCTCAGACTAGGCCAGAATGTTTTGAAAAAAACATCATGATGTCACGATGCATGCCACAGCTTTCTCAAGCAGCGTATGGTCACTGTCACTGTTTCAGAATATGGACAGTTTTGTTGACTTGCATGCAGATCAAAGTTTGACCAAAGCTCAGGTTCGAATTGCCGAACGCTCAACGGAGGGACTGCACGCTATATTGAAGCGGGCAATTCAGAGAGCGCCAAGAGCCTCCCTTGCGTACTTGAGCATGGAGCTCAGGTTCAATCAACTTCTTCGGTCTGCCATCCATGAGCCACTGGTTTTCAAACAGATGGAGGCAGAATGGAAGAACATGGGCACGTACCAGGGCTTTCTGAAGGCCGTTCAGAGCTTGTTGGGGGTGCAAGGCAGATCACTTCATTCCCTCAAAGAGGCAGACTTGGCAAAACTCCTCTACAGAGACAACCTCGAATTGAAGCATTCGTTGCCAAATCACATTCAAAGGGCGATCGCTGAGGTTGAAAATTTGGGCCCAGTGGTGAGTGTCAATGCGAAACAACCCAACAAGACTGATGTGTTGGCTGCATGCATCCTCGATTTCTTGATGGAGGCCTGGCCAGCAACCTGCAGCCAGTGGACCATTTTGTGTTTTTGCTTCAGCTGAAACTGAAGCTTAATGTTTGCCTCTCTCATTCTTGAGCCAGCCAACACATGATTTAACAACACATTCATGGGCCGAACCAAACCTGCTTTTTTTACTCTACACCTAAATGCACATATGTAATCTGTATATATACTTATATATTATATATATATATGTACACAATATACATGTAAATAATCACACAGCAAAATCAATTAATGGACGCGGCTTTTGAATTTCACCGTTTTTTTTCATGTTATAGATAATTGAATTGAGCTGCCAGGCAGCCTCAGGATAGGTCGATTGATGGCTTTATCTCTTTCTGGTTGAAGTATCATTTAAGTGTTCTCTCACCCTCCTTTTGCAGACGATTCAATGGAAACCATTGAATTCTTGGACCAGCTCATGCATGGGCCAAGGTGTGTCGCAGAGACCCAAAGATTCTGATTATGTTTCGCAGCGATTTCATAGACGGCCGCCTTCAACCGATCGAAGAAGCGTTTTCGCATGGGCAAAGGCAAGCTGCAGCAGCTTTGCCACCCCAGAATGATTCGAATGTTTTGCGTTTTGAAGACGAGCCTTCCATCACAATTTTCGATTTGTCTTCGAAATCTGGCTTGCCAGCTGCATCGCGGTCCCATTCTGAGCTCAAGAGGTTCTGCCGCCTGACCAAAAACATCTTCAAGCACATGACTTTGCAAAACAAACCGACTTCAGAGATCGACTGTTTGGCCACTGTGTTCGACATTGGGCCAGGGGATGTGCTAGCGCCACGTGGAACACCATACACTTGTGTCCTCAGTGATGCTTCTTCTGTTGACCTTGTGGGCAATGCGTCCATTTGCACAATTGGGCCTGTTGAATTTGATTGTGCGGAAAAATCAACTGCCGGCCAGCTTCTGCTTGACATGATGAAATCGGGGGCTTGGGGTCCACAGGCTAGCAGGCTTGATGTGGCTACTCAGGCCTTCTATCTCCCGAATTCCGCCCAATCTGAAGATTGCCAGATACTGCTGCAGAAGAAGTTGATCACTCCGTCGATGATCCAGTCAGTGGATGATGCAGATGCAGATGCAGAACAGTTCTACCTGACACCGCATGCTTTTGATGTTTTGCAACTGAAGCTGACCCTTGCATCTCAAATGCCATTGGATGAGTACCACAAGTCGTCATCAGGTGCTGATCTTTCCATCAACGACCTGTGCGCGTTTGAACTTTTCATGCTGATGTTGCATTCTGGATGGGAGGTGGTGGTGAGTCTCAGTCGGATGGATTTCATTGACAAGCAGCAGCAGGAGAAACAATTTTGTATTCAGAATCATGGAGTTGGTGCTCTCCGTGTCTATTTGGCAGCATGTTTGCAAGCTGACCGAATTTTGGAAGCAGGATTGCCACAGCTGTTCCATTGTCAATCCAAAACCTACTATGCTTGTGCCCTTCGATTGACCGATCTGGGCTCAGATGGGTGCCTGAAAAAGCTCGAACCAAATAAACCAGCCAGCTGTTACAAAGAGTTGCTGAAGGAAGCAGAAGACCTTGCAAATGACAAGAAGAACAAAGGTAGCAAAAAAAGGTTAGCAAATGCCATTTCAGTACCGGCAGGCACAGGAGGCGAAGTGATGGAACTGGAGCTGGAAGATGAGAAGAGCTTGCTGGAGATTCTTGGGGAGTCAGTTCCAAAGGCTAAGCAGCAAAAGAAGCAGACGAGCGCACGTCATGAATGCTGTCAACGCCGTCCAATTTCAGCTGAAACTGCCATGGGCCCAGACTCGGGGCCAGTCCAAGTGTCAAGTGATTCTTCCAGCAGCGGAGAGATGGAGACAGAGACAGCAACAGAGAATCCTGTGACTGCAATCAGGCGGCGTAAATCGGAAGCCGCGCAGGCGACTGCTAGCAGTAGGTTGGTGCAGGCTGTGGCCACAGTAGCTGAGCAAGCGGCAGCAGCCACTGAACGTGCAAAGCAAAAAAAAATCCAGGCCCCTGTGGTCCCAGCCCCAGCGGCCAAGGCCATGGCTGTGGATGCAACAGATTCTGATCCTGCAGATCTGAACATGGCTGCTGCAGGTGCCATTGCAGGTCCAGCACAAGATTCAGCCTCAGCAGCAAATGGAAACGTAGTCAATGACAATGAGGTCCTGGCCCCGGTCCCAGCATTGACTGTTGCCACTGCCGCCTCTTCAGCTGGACAAATTGCTCAGCCGTCGTCATCCTCAAGCTCAAGTTCAAGTGTTGCAGTCGCTGCGGCGCCTGCCTCCGCTGCCCCAGCCAGAGCCGCTGCCGCTGCCCCAAGCCCAGCAGTGGCAGCTGCACCGGGTGACTCAGCTGGGCGTCGTGCTCAAGGGTCTCTGTCATCCCTGTTCAACTTGAGCACGATTTGGGTTGGGGACATTGCCATTATCAAGAGAGAGGACAAGGGTAGCGACTCTTGTTTTATGTGATGACGAGAGTGACGAAAGTAGGTCCGGTCCAGTTGGTGATAGCAGGGGCAGGGATTCGTGGAGATCGGGTTTGGTCAGGCTTGGTCAGGTCCTTGTCATTGTCCTTGTTTTGAAGCTGTTGTTGTTGTTGCTGTTGCTGTTGCTGTTGCTGTTGTTGTTGTTGTTGTTGTTGTTGCAGCTGCAGTTGCAGTTGCAGTGTCATTGTCAGATGATGTATAAGTAGTGGTAGACCACTTCAACATCACGATGTCGTCCATGCATGACTAGTGATTCATGACTTAGGGTGCCTTCTATGCCACTTGTCCTTGCCACAAGAGCGTGGTGGCTGGTGGACGTCAACGTCTTTGCAAGAAGGAGATCTCCATCAACCAGAGACACACAGATCAAGTTGCTGCTCGGATGGTGGCTTACTGGCTTGCTGCAGGTGCCAGCGGGGGCGAGTCGACTTTGTGCTTGACTTGATTCCCTTGTTTGTTTTCTGACAGTGTATAGTGTAAAGGGTATCTATGTATGTATGGCTGTATGTATGTAACTGGTGTCGATCAGCCTTCTTTGTAGACATTTAGCATCTTAAATTCTTCAACTGTTTGCTCATAACCTCACACTGCAATACCCGACATGGCAGTATTCTGGACATTGGCCTGATGTATGTATGGATGTATATGTGTCGGTAGTCGGTAGGTGTGTATGTATGCATGTATGCATGTTTGGCATAGTCCTTTGTTTTTGGCACAGTCCCTTGTTTTGGCACATAGTCCTTTGTTCCGTGCTGAAACTATCAGGATTCAAAATGGTACGCGGTGCTGGTGAATCTGATGAAGAGCTGCGGCGCAGACATGTGACATTGGTGCTTTCCTCAGCATAATTGTGTTGGCGTTTCAGAAGCAATTGCAATGAAGTATGGTACAATGCAGTTGGTAGAATCCAGAGTCCAGCCCAACCCATTCCAAATCCATGTCCCTGAGTGTCCGCCAGGCTCCACCCTCTATTGACGACCTTCCTTCTTTGGACAGCTTGAGGACTGAAATCGAACAACTTCAGGCATTGAATGCAATGATGTAAGTCCAGCCAGCTTATCAGATGATTTCAAGTCAGCCTTGAATTACCATCCAGATCATCAGATAGTGCGGCCCAAATCCAAATTCAAATTCAACTAGATTCAATGATCCAGCTGAAGACAGAAATCACTGTGACACTTTAAGGGCTTGGTGTATTTTTTCTGATCAATCATTTGTTAAAATACTGTAAATGTTTTTTTTTTGCATTTTCTTGAAGTTTTTTTTCAAAATTAAAAAAGTCAATGAAAAAAATAAATTCTTTTTTTCCTTAAATTCCAAAAAAAATTAAGTTCTTTTTTTTAGAACTTAAAATTCTTAGTTCTTTTTTTCAAGACTTCTACGTTGAAAATCTACATGAAATCCTTGAAAAATGATGCTTTTTTGATCAAATTTCTACGTAGAAGTCATTGATTTTCAGCTCTTTCTACGTAGAAATTTGCTCAAAAAACATTGTTTTCCAAGGATTTCATGTAGATTTTCAACGTAGAAGTCTTGAAAAAAAGAACTAAGAATTTTAAGTTCTAAAAAAAAAGAACTTTTTTTTTTGGAATTTAAGGAAAAAAAAGAATTTTTTTTAAAAAAAAATTAAAAAAATAAAGAAAAAGAATTAAAAAAAAAAGAATTAAAAAAAAAATAAAAAAAGAATTTTTTTAAAAAAAGATTTTTTTTTTCAAAAAAATGGGAACTAAAACTTTTTTCCATCTTGTTTTGAAACCTGAAAAAGTTTTAGTTCTTTTTTTTTGGAACTAAAACTGTTTTCCATCTTGTTTTGAAACCTTAAAGAAACTAGAGATGTGTACTATGTACTGTATTTTTTCCGGCGCCTTCGGCGCCCTAAATATTTTAGGAAAAAGTTTTAGTTCTTTTTTTTTGGAACTAAAACTTTTTCCATCTTGTTTTGAAACCCTAAAGAAACTAGAGATGTGTACTATGTACTGTATTTTTTTCCGGCGCCTTCGGCGCCCTAAATATTTTAGAACAGTCATAGAGGGGGGGGGGGGCAGGGCGGAACTACTGTTGCAGAACAAAAAAAGAACAAATACAATATGCTAAAGTTAGCAGCGCTACCGCATCAGCCCATTGAGACCAAAGGAAACTTTAAATGTAAATCTCCCGAGAAACCCTAAACCCTAAAAAACGAAAAAAGGGCAGCGCTACCGCGTGGGCCCTTCTGGGCCAAAGGAAACTTTTATTCCGAAATTGAAAGCCAAACAACAAAATGTAAATCTCCCGAGAAACCCTAAACCCTAAAAAACGAAAAAAGGGCAGCGCTACCGCGTGGGCCCTTCCAAAGGAAACTTTTATTCGGAAATTGAAAGCCAAACAACAAAATGTAAATCTCCCGAGAAACCCTAAACCCTAAAAAACGAAAAAAGGGCAGCGCTACCGCGTGGGCCCTTCCAAAGGAAACTTTTATTCGGAAATTGAAAGCCAAACAGCAAAATGTAAATCTCCCGAGAAACCCTAAACCCTAAAAAACGAAAAAAGGGCAGCGCTACCGCGTGGGCCCTTCTGGGCCAAAGGAAACTTTTATTCGGAAATTGGAAGCTAAACAACAAAAATCTAAACCTCCCTAAAACCTTAAACCCTAAAAAAAGAAAAAAGGGCAGCGCTACCGCGTGGGCCCTTCTGGGCCAATGGAAAGTTTTACTCGAGATTTGGGAAGAAATGAAAATTATATAAACCTAACCTAAACCCTAAACCCTAAAACATGAAAAAGGGGCAGCGCTACCGCGTGGGCCCTTCTGGGCCAATGGAAAATTTTATTCGAAATTTGGGAAGAAATGAAAATTATATAAACCTAACCTAAACCCTAAACCCTAAAACATGAAAAAGGGGCAGCGCTACCGCGTGGGCCCTTCTGGGCCAAAGGAAAATTTGTATTCGGGCTTATTAATCCAAAAAAATGCTAAACCCTAAACAGTAAAAACTTAAACTAAAAAAGGACGAACTTGAATGGCTGGATAGCTGGATGGACTGCTATTTTTTCGGAACGCTAGCTGCAAAGCTCAGCTTGGCGATTGAGATTTGCATTTCCATTGATGATCAAAATCAACAGCTTTGGGAACTTGACAGCTGTTGAAGTTGCAAGGGTGCAGGTACCGAGCCTTCAAACTGCACCGGGATGGGAATGGCATATGGCACGAATTTGAAATTTGGGTCGCAGCTATAGATCTTCCGATGATCTTCCCTATTCAAATGCAATTCCTGGAATGACTGCAGGCCGTGGCTGGAATTTGGTAACCCAGGCCAGGCACTAGAGATTGGCATGCATTTCATAGATGCTCAACATGCCCATGGCTGTCATGGCATCAACTGTGGTAGGCCTTGGCTTCGACAGACTTCAACGTCAGCTTTCATGAAGTGCGCCAGTGCGCATTGTCAGGGGTAGTGAGCAGTGCGCAGTCATTGGCATTGAGTTTGGCGCTAGCACTGCTAGCCCGCTATCATTTTTAGCAAGCTGTGCAGCAGTGCAATGAGCAATTTTGGTTCATAGTGGCAATTGACAGTTCAGTCCCTGTTACTTTTGTGGCAGCTACACTGGCAGCACTGATAGCCGCAATCACAGTCATATGGCCAGTGAGGTGAATGAGGAATTCCTAAAGCTGAATCACGAACATGCCATGCACGCCAGAAATCCAGATCTCTTGTCACTCTTGTCTTGTCATTTGATGGGGAACCGGTCATCAAGCGCGAAGCGCCTTGAACCTTCATTGCAAGCAATGGCAGCGGCAGAGGAAGGCGTTTGCAAAGTTGACGATGCCATCTGCGTTGCCAGTTCTTCTTCCCTTGAGACCTCCACTGCCAGTGGCGCTGGCAGTGCTGCCAGTGGCACTTCTAGCACTTCTCCTTCCTCTTCTGAATCCCTGAGTCTAGCGTCGTGCCAGGGATTTCAGGAGGAAGAACTTCCCGATGATGGTGGCAAAGATGCGTCCCGAGAGATCCATGCACGGATTCAACAAATATCTGCTGAGGAAAATTGGCCCAACGGGCCGAGCACTGTTGAAGAGCTGTTTAGATGGCAGCACTACAATGCATCCCGTCTCATTGGTGAAGCTTGTAAAGCCACAGCTGAGGAGAAAACCAACCGGTTGAAAAGGCTGAGCTCATTGCTGTCGTTGGATTGGGAAATCAACGAAGCATACGCAGGAACAGGGAATGCAGCTGTAACGCTCCATCAGCAGATTACAGCTTTTCAGAGGGAACTGCGCATGGTGGCCAAAAACGAAGGCTGGTTTGATTTTTGCAATCATTGTTTAATTGATGTTCTCAGAGAAATTGCCAACACATACTGATTACATGGCATGACATGGGATGCTTGTGTCATTTCCTCCTTTCCTCACTTTCTTTCTCTCGATTTTTGACACTTCACATTTTGCACTTTGCACTTCAATGGCTCACACGTTGCTCTCATTCTGTTAGGCATTGATGTGCCAACTTTTGGCCGTGTCTACACTGCTACAAGTTGTGATATCGAAGAGCACTGCAGACGTGTCCTGAAGACATTGCCAGAGGACAGACTGAGTCTGAGTCATTGAATTTGTTTTCCTATTGTAGTTAGTTGGCTGTCAACATTGACTGCGTGATTCATGACTTCAGGGTTTCCGTTGCTTTTTTTGATATTGTTCTGATTTCTGATGGTCCATTGCCAGGATTTTCGACCTCTGTGTGTGCAGGGAAACCTCATGGATCGAATTTCGACCCGTGCCAGGCCAAACCATGTCAATATACCCAAGCTGATGGAGTCACTTGAGATTGTTTTGTTGGACTTTGACCGGGCCAAACCATGGAGTCACTGATCACTGATGATCACTGTTGGTGTCACCTTGACTTAAACCCAGATTCAGACTCTCTAAGTTGGTTTTCTGACTTGAGCCGTGAACCTGTGGAGGGAGATGCTCGGACAGATCAGAGAGGACGTTCAGTTTGAGATGGAAACGCATTTAAGTGTGGCAGCCAAGATTGCGGCAGTCAGGGCCAATTTGTGTTTTAGGTACTGAGACTGAGACTGGACTGACATCACTGACATCATTGAACAACAATTCAATACAGTATAGATTATGCACTTGTATAGACTATTGTCCATGGCACTGGTACTACAGCTATGACTCTGAGTGCACGCGCTATGCGCCCAAATTCCATTATTCAGACTTGGGCTTGGGCTCTTGGATGATCAGATTTTGTTCAGGCAATGTTGATGAGCGGGAGCACAATGCCATCAAAAAGCAGTACGGAGACCGGTTGTTCCAGCTTTACATCAAGTTCCTTTGCAAGGAGACCGGGTGACGGGACGACGGGACTGATCAGAATGACAAACCATTTGATTGGCTAAACCTCATGCCTCATGCCCAATGCCCTCATGCCATCACCATCAATAATCCATGACCAGACCAGATCATTGCATTTCAGAAGTGCGCATGGTGGGGTGGGCCCAGCGCCGCCTGGGTTCAGTTGGAGCCTTTGCAGCTAGGACAGCTCTGTCTACTTGAGCAAAGCACCATGCTACACCCACACGCATATGGAACCAGAGTCGGGGACTGAAGGTGACTCCGATTTTGGAAGTGATGATAGTGATGATGTAGGCTTAGGGTCAAAGAAAAGAAAGCGACCAAAGGCCAAGGCAAAATCCAGAGCAAAGGCAAAGGCAAAGTCGAAAAGCAAAGCTTTCACTGAGAAGATTGGGAGCTGCCCAACCCCAGTTGGAACCATGGCCATAACCCATCAATCGACTGTCGTTTTTTCTGTGTAAGAGTAAGAGTAAGAGCAGCTATCCTGTACAGACTTTGGCTGTGAGTTCATGACTCAGGACTCAGGATTTCAGAATGCATAGTTATTTGATATATTGTGACTGTGATTCTGATATAGTCGTTCTGACAATTTGAATGGCTTGGGACTTGGGATTAGGATTCAATCAAGCTGAAGATGAAGCGCTACCGGTATGGATGACCATAGAGTTCACTTGAGGGCCTTTGACTACATTGTACAATTGTACATAGTACATATATTCCCCACCTGCCAGGTGAGGGTTGTTAGGGATACTTCAGCTTGCTGACGATACTTTCTCTCTAACCTACCTAACAGGACTATGTAATAGTCCGGTCTGTAACTATATATGCGTTCTCCCTGTGTACGCGTTTTTACTTACGTTGACCTGCGCTGCTCCGCAAACACAAACAAACCAACAAATCCAAATCAACCTGCGTAGAACCAAAACAATCAAAATCTCAAATTGTCTCAATGCTGAAACATTGTTTTTATTTTTCAGGTGAAATTTTTCACACTGATAAATTTTTGTTGATCTGTTTTTAATTGACCCTTTGGAATGAAATCATTCTATGCTCGGTGGCCATTCTTGTTTAAGGGTTGGGTGGGCGGGTTCCGTCCATTTCTTGCCATGGACACTTTTTGTGAAGTCAGGGGTCAGACCTTGAGACGCAGAGGTGATCCTATCAACAGAGCTCGGATCCTTTCAGAAACCAATTGCCTTTTTCAGCTGTCGCGTGTTACATGTCAGTTTGTTTTGACTTTTGCAGCTGGCTGGGTATTTGGGTTTATTTCTGCAGTGGTCTATTTGATCAACTCCTGATTTTGGACGTCATGGACTTGGACGGTGATAGGACAGATTCAGCGCCACGTGAACTGAAAGGCTTTAGACGTCGTTGGAACCCTTCACAGGCATCGTCTCCTGCACAGTCGGGACCTTCAGATGTGGTCTTGCAAGGAGAGCAGATTTTGCATGCTGATAATGAATATGATGCTAGTTTGTTTGGGGGCGACGTCTTTGGAAAATTTCCTGGTGATTGGGATGTCATTTCAGTGCACGATGGAGCTGAACAACCTGAGTTACCTGAAGGTTTAGGCAAACGTGTTTTTGAGAATTCCGACAACATGCCACGTCCTTCAACTATTCAGGTGTGCGACCCTCAGAATCGTGAGTCCCAGTGGAAACATGCTGCCATTGAAGCTGATGCCAAACGTTTGAAAAGCAGTTTTCAGAAGTTGCCCTGGGAGCTGGAAGGTTCAGCATTCAAACCACTGGACAGGTGGCACGGCACTGGACTTGCATCTTTTGACAGGTTCTTTCAACCTACGTTTGTCGGGGCCTATGATGTTTTGGAGTCACAAGTGGTGAAGTCAAGACCAAGTGCAATCCAAGTGAAACATGATTTGCCAGTGGTGCCGATCTCATTGAAACGGTCTCGGAGAGAACCATTGGATGAAGATATCAGGAGAAAAGCGCTCCTGAGGCTCAGTGATTTGATTTTGCAGGATCCTTTGGCAACCAGGTTGGGGACTTGTTTGCGTGGTCAAGTTGAACTGGGTGAGGCGCATGAAGATGTTCAACAGTCAGTCAGAGATGCTTTTAGGATGAAGGCATCGTCCACTTTGCAGAAACGTGCTGCATCACTTTGGAAACTAGCAAAGATTTTGAGAGAGTTTGGGCAACTTCATCCACTCAGGGTGTCAGAGGCTCAGTTGTACATGGCTTTGTGCAAGATGCGTGAGTCGGGAGCTGGTGCAACTACAGCTCAACATGTGGTTGAAGCTTTGCATTTCCTTGATGCTGCAGCAACATTAACAATTGTCAATCTGGCAGATGTTGTTTCATCGCGGTGCCGGGGTGTTGCAAGGGATATGTTTTTGACAAAGGATCCGTTGCGTCAGAAGGTGCCCCTCACCGTGGAACAGGTCAGAAGGCTTGAGGTGACCATGCAGACAGTGGGCTCAGTTTTCCGCTGCATACTCGGTCAGATTCTTTTCTGTATTCATGCATGTTGCAGATGGAAGGATGGGCAACGTTTGAAACAGATCACCACTGAGAGCGGGCATGGGGAAACTCTTTTGTATGCTGATGCATTGACTTCAAAAACAACAGCGTCAGTGGAAGCAAGGACTAGATTCCTGCCATACGCTGCTTTAGGGTCTGGAGTCTCATCGGTGAATTGGGCAGACCTATGGTTGGAGGCGAGAGAGACAGAAGGTTTGACTTGCAACGATTTTGTGTTGCCCAGTTATTCAGAAAAACAAGCATGCTGGTTGGAAACGCAGATGAGTGCTTCAGAAGCCACTGCATGGCTGCGTGACTTTTTGGATGGCACGACAAACTTCAAACCTGAGTTGGTAGGGTCGCATTCGTGCAAGTCAACATTGCTCACATGGGCTGGAAGATGCATTCAGGTTGTATTCACACCTGCAGAGAGACGATTGCTTGGACATCATTTGGACCCAAGCATGAAGAGCGTTCTTTGCTATTCCAGGGAAAGTTTCACCTCACTGTACTCGAAAGTGCTGTGCATGTTTCGTTTGATTCGTACAGATGAATATAACCCTGACTTGTCAGCAGTTGCGCGGGTGGTACAACAAGCAGACGCAGCTGGTGAAAATCAGCTCCCAGGAAAATGCGGGCGCCGAAGAGCAGCTCCATTCAGATTCAGACTCAAGCGCAGCTTCAATTGAGACTGGACAAGGGGACCAATGGGATGGGGTGCAAGCTGAAGAGCCATGCGTTTCTCTTTTCCCAGGTTTCCCGGGAATTCCTGAGACGGACCTGTTTGTGCACAACTTGTCAGGTTTGGTGCATGTTGTCAATGAGGATGATACAATGCTGTGTGGGAGGCCGACCTCGGTCAACTTCAGGCTGTATGCAAAGGTCTTGGAAAGAGACCATTTGGCCGGCTGCCGTCAGTGCCTCAAATCCTTTCAAAATCGAAAGGGCTGAATGTGAGTTGCGAGAGCGATGAAAATCAGAAGTCATCGCATCAAACGTTTGTGAAGTGTTGGAAAAGCAGTTGTCAGACATGGCAAGTGATGCATTTTCCCATGTGATGTGAATGAGTGAAAACTTTTTGATTGCGTTTGTATTGACCACATTGTCACCACATCAAGAAACCGATACTTGCAGTGGGACAAAGCTCAAGGTCAAACAAGCACTCACTCAGCACATGTTGACTTCACTTGTGCCATGTTGAACTAAACTGATCGTTTTTTCCAAAGCTCACTTCTGATGCGTAACCATGTCACAGTTTTGAATTCGTTGGTATCAAAAACTTGACTTCACTTTTACTAGGCCAGGTTTGTAGGCATGTTCAGATTTCCTCGGTGTAGTCGTTGCTGTGAACATCATGGCAGCGTCGACACTGGAATCGGAAGCGGCATTCAGAGATAGGGCTGAACAGATTGGCGTGGAAGGACGCTACATCGATAAGTTTGTCAACAAGAACTTTGCATCGTTTGGCCGCTATGCTTTCTGTGTGGTTTACTCCCCGCAGCATACAGACGAGACACCGCTGCGAAGATTTCTGGCAGACCTCCTTGAGGAGGAACCTGAGCCTGACCAGATGGCAATCCTTAGACGGCTGTTCTTTGAGGCCCATACTATGACTCTTACAGATGCTAGGCAACGTGTTGAAGCACAGCCTGACCCAGCAATGGCTACAAAGCGAATGGCAACAGCAGAGCGTGTTGCGAGGCAACGTGAGCAACAGGAAAGGCTGGGCGGCTTGGTCTTCACGCCAGAGACAATACCGGCAAACAATGT